GGCATTCCCTGGGCTGACAGGGGCCCACTGTGAGCATGCAGAGTCCTGCTCTGGCCACTGCCCCACTGTCATTGTGTGAGGGCAGTGGGGATGACATGAGGGACTGTCACAGCAGCAGCCTCAGGGGTCCCTGTGTGCCCCATGGCCACCAGCTTCACGAGTGAAGCCTCTCCAGAACCTGTTGGGGCTGGTTAGGGTACAGTAAGGAGGACTCAGCTCCCATCATGGCTGTGTCTGACTTACTGGTCCATTCCTCCTTCTCCTCCTCTTTTCATTCTCCAGGTCAAATTTCTAAACCCTCCAAGTGTCTTTACAGACTCCAGAGCTGGGATATGGGATTTACATGCTGGGAGTGGGGTTGCAGGGCACTGCATGTGGGTGTTCACAGCTCCATTAATGAGCTTGGATGCCTCAGCAAGATGGGCTTCCAGCCTCTCCAGAGCTGGAGAAGAACATCTAATCCCCTCCACAGAGACCACTCCTGCTCCTCTGAGAATCAACTTTGAAAACCTTTGCAAATTGAAATGAAAAATGTTTTTCTTACAGAAAATGGTTCTGCTTTGCCTTTGTGTGAACCACAACACTGCCTACCCTCAGATCCTGGTTCCATCAGGGTTTATCTCCTGGGGAATGAACAACAGAGTTAGGAGGAAAAGCTAAAGATGGGCTGAGAGTTTCTTGTCCCAGAGAAACCCAGATGGAACAATCAGGAAGGGTTGCAGCTGCCACACAGCATCAGGAGATGGTGGCTGGGGGATGAGGATGGTCCCAGGATGGGAGCAGGAGGGTGGTAAGTACCTGAGAGACATCAGGGAATGTTTTGGCTGGGCTGCCTCACCTTTGAGGGACAGCGAAAGGCAGGAAAGCCAGGGGAAAGGGAGATCCTGACCCAGGAGCGGTGCAAGGCATCAAACACTCCGGGCTGCAGGGTCCCCTGGGGATACTCCAGAGTCCCAGGCCTGCAGGGACCTTTGGGTGCCAAGTGTGGTCCCAGAGTCCCAGGACTTCAGGAACTGCCTTGGAGTCCCAGGGCTGCAGGGGCCCACAGGGGTTCCAGTGAGATCCCAAAGCCTTGGGGCTGCAGAGACCCCTGGGACCCCACAGAGACTCCAGAGCCCCAGTGACACCAAAGCCATGGGGCTGCAGTGAGCCCTGGGGCCACAATGGGACCCCAAAACCCCAAAGTTACAGGGACCCCCAAGACCCTGAGAAGACTCCAGAGGCCCAGTGAGACTCCAGAGCCCTGGTGCTACAGGGACTCACATGGTGGGGGTGGTAGTGGTGGGGGAGTGATGAGACCCCGGAGCTCTGCTGAGCCCCAGAGCTGCAGGGATCCCTGGGTGCCTGAGGGACCCCAGAGTCCCAGGGTTACAAGGATCTGTGGGTGCCTAGAGAGACCCCAGTGCCCTGGGCCTGCAGAGACTCCCAGATGCCTAGAGACAATCCAGAGCCAAGGGGCTGTAGAGACCCCTGGCTGCCTGGAAAGACCCCAGAGTCCCAGGGCTGGAGGACCCCCTTATGTCTGAGAGACCCCAGAGCCCTGGGGCTGAAGGACCCTCATATGCCTGTGAGACCCCAGAGCCTGGGGACTGCAGGGACTCCCAAGTGCCTGGAGAGACCCCAGAGCCCCAGTGAGACCCCACACCCCTGGGACTGCAGGGCCCCCCCAGCCATGACCCTGTCCAAGCCAACCAAGTTCAAGCCCACCTACAAGCCCGTCGGGCAGTGCCACCCCATTTCACACAGGAGGACCATGTCTCCCCACGGGTGACATCCCCAGGCCAGTGCCACCGTGTGCAGGGACCCTGCTGCCGCTCGCCCTGCCAGTGCAGTCTGGTGTTCACCCACTGGGTGTCACGCGTGCTCCACGGACGACAACGACAGCGAGAGACGGAGACAGGGCCAGCACCGGGGAGCGCCAGGGAACGGGACAAGCCAAGGAACAAAGGGGAGCCTGAAATCGTGTCCCCCTGTTCCACGCTGGTGTCACCACGGAGGTGGAGGTGGTGGCTGGGGCTGTGCCTGACCTGGGTTCCCCCCGCTGATGCCAGGCAGGTGCTGACTATACCCACCGTGTCCTCCTGGGGTGGCATCAGGGGTGCCTCTGCAGCCCCGTGCTTGGTGTTCCCTGCTGCTCTGAGCCGTTCTGTGGCACCTCAGGGACAGCTCAGCCTTGGAAGCTGAAGGGCGTTCGGAGTGATTTGCACCTCAGTTTCAGGCTCGGTGTTACTCGTCCCAGTTAAGGGTCCCCAGGACAGTGCTGGGGGCATGCTGCTCTCTCAGTGCCTACGAGCCCAAAGAGGGCACCGCCTGGGAATTTTTCTATTAAGATGAAGCCCCAGAAAATTTCCTTTTCCTCCTTGCTCCCACCTGGTATTCCCATTGCATCCCTCCTGCTCCTGGCAGTGGCCTCAGGCACCCTGAGCCCCCCCCCAGTGAGGGGAACAAGGCAGGGACAGCAGGACATCCTGCACTCAGGACCACTTTATCTTTAACAGGGAACTTTTTTTGCCACTTTGGAGTTTTCTGGTGTCGGGGAAAAGTGTGTGGGGAAAAGTGGGTGTTGCTTCCCATAGTCCTTCTTGGAGCTGGAACCTGGCACAGCCAGGCTATCCAGCACTGCTGGGTCCCTTCCCTGTCCCCAGGTCTCACCCCTGGCACCACTTCAGGAGGGCATGGGCAGGAACAGCACCAACCTCGCAGACAAAGGCAGGGAGGGAGCTCAGAGCAACCAGCTGGCAAAGCTGGGTGGGACCAGTGGCAAACCACAAGGGGGTGTTGGGGGAGTCTGCCAGGCACATTCCCTGGGGCTGGCAGAGCTGACAGGGGCATGGAGAGGTGGGATGAGGGTCCCTTGCTCACCCCTTCATGAGTTTTGGCCTCAGCTCAAGAAACCCAGTGGAGGGCAGTGTATGGGGTGGGGTCCCTGGGTTACAGAGAGTGAGTCCCACAGAAGCTCTGCCCCACTGTAGGTGGGTCAGAAGGTCCTGTGGGTGATGTGACTCCATGTATTGGAGGGTTGGAACAAGATGGTCTGTAAAGTCCCTTCCAATCAAAACCATGCTGTGACATATCTCCTGAGTACCCATGTGCCCCCCTGCCACCTCTCTGTGTCCTCCAACAACTGGGGTCATGCCAGGGCAGGGTCCTGCCCCAGGATGCTCCTCCAGCTGCGTGCATCCCACCTTTCCATCCATGGAAGATGTCCACATAGGACACAGCACAGCGACACATGTGTGTGACACACTGCATGGAAAAGGCAGCACCTTGGGGCAGGCACAGGTGTGGGCACAGCCACGGAGCAGCGACGTGTTTACAGAGTCCTGCCTCACACAGGGACATCCAGCAGGCAGCTGTGGCATCTCCACAAACTGTGGCATGGAAGCCACATGTCTGGACATGAGTGTTTACCCACCCACACGTGCCCAGCTGGCAGCACACACGTATCAGCACATGCAGCTGGCAGACACACAGCTCATGGCTCCAGCCAGGTTCTGGGACAGCCCACAGGTACTGAGCATCCCCACACCCCTGCACATACCCCTTGAGGGATGCAAACGTGCTCTAGGGGTGTGCAGACATACCTGTACACACTGCAGATGCTTTGGCATGTATTTGATGCTCCTCAAGGGCCTCTCCTTAACCCCCTCTCACTCCCAGCTCCTAAGCCTCCTTGTTGCATCCTGCTCCCCTCTTCCCTACTGTAACCGTTCCTGTACTGTGATCCTGTGTCCACCCTTTCCTGTCTCTCCTACTCCTCTACACTGTTTGTTTTAGCTGAATCCTTCTCCTCATGTCGTGTTGTGTCACCCCTTTTTGCCCTGGAGTATCCCTCCCTGCCCATTGCCATCCTGGAACCCTGCACCACCTCTGGCTCCCCAAACTCCTGCTCTACTCCCCCATGCTATTCCCAACCTGGCAGACAGGAATGTGGCACCAGCAGCCCCACGGCTGCCAGGCCAGGTCTTGCCTGCACAGTGTCCCAGCCGGGCATCAGAATGATTTAAAAGGACTGTGAAAAATGTAGTTATTTTTTCCCCTTTCAGCTGCAAGTCAATACTTGGGGAAGGATGTTTAATTATCTTTGTCACCCTCCTAAATCTCTTTATGAGAAGGTTTGGCTGCAAATCTCCACATCATTTCAGAGTTATTGGCTAGTGCAGTGCACAGCGACACAGTAAATTAGCCGGTCAGAGCAGGCGTGGGTGCTCCTACCACTGCCAGTCCTGCACGTGGCTGGTTCACCTCATCCTGGGGCTGTGACAGGCTGGTGGCAGCAAGGAAACCCTCTGATAACTCAGGAGTCAGGGCTGGTGTCCCCTCAGGTGTGGGCACCACCTGGCTGTCATGGCATAGTACATGCTCCCTCCCTGGGGACATGGCATCTCCTGTGAATTGCCAGGACAAGGCAGGATCCAGGGGACAAGGGACAGGCAGGGCCACCCCAGGGCGACTTCCTGCACCAGGAGGTCCATTGTTCTCACTGTGTGAGGCCCCCAGCACCTCCTTCAAGTTACTCTCCTCAATCCTGGAGCCACTCTGCCCAGACCCAGGGTCTGTGGTTCTCTGGTGCCCATTACCCCCACAGCTTGCAGTATTCCACCGGGGTGACCCAAAATCACCCTTGGCTGAGGGATGGACCGAGATGAGGCTGAGGCATCTAGAGGTGCTGGGTCCACCCAGCTGCTCTGAGCCCCCCAAAAATCCCCATGTTTGAAGGCAGATGGGAAAGTGGGTGGGTGGGCTGAGATCCAGTATTGGGTCCTGCTGCCGTTCCCAGGGCAGGACCTGCTCTGGGTGGTGTGCAGGGCTGGGTGGGCTGGTGAAGGCGACAGATGGAGAGCAGGCACAAAAGGTGGGGATGCAGCCCCCCACCTATCAGCATCCCTGGAGGCAGCACCAAGCATGCCCTAAACCCCCTGTTCTCATGCGAAACCAGCAGAGCCGGGGCTGGGCTGGAGGACTGAAATACGCCAGAACGAAATACCACCTTCCCGATAATGCCTTTTATTGGACTAGGTGACACGCAGGCTTTAGGGGGATAGCAGGAGAATCCTCTCGGCTCATCCGCAGAACGGATTTCCACAGCCCTCCCGGCGGCTTGTCAGCGCTCGGCGCCAAGTCCCTGAAGAGTTATTACCTCCCGACGCAGGGCTCTGTCTGCCGGGAGCTCAGCGGCGTCCCTGCCCCTCTTTGCTGCTTAGAAAGATTACGCCGCCTTGGAATAAGCTCCGTGGAGCGCTGCTGCCGTCGCATCAGACAGGGGCTAATCAGAAAATTAGCAGGGAAAGAGAAGTTTGTGGCAGGAACTTATCTCCGGCGCGGGCGCGTTGTCGCTCCGGTTGCTGCTGCTGCCGCGCCCAGCCCCGGCCCTCGGGGCAAAATTTCCTTGGATTGCAGTGATGAAAGCTGGTACAAGTGTGAGGTGCGAGGTGGTGTGGGTGCACACACGTGTGTGTTTCAGGGTGTTGGTGCATCTTGGGATGGTCCTGTGCAGGGCTAAGGGTTGAGCTTGGTGATCCTTGTGGGTCCCTTCTAAACGAGCATATTCTGGGATCCTGTGCTCGGCACAGGCATTTATGTGTGTGTGTGTGTGCACTCACACACACACACACACCCCACACACACATATACCTGCCCTCGCAAGCCTGGACTTGCACATGCATCATACAATCACAGAATCCCACAATGGTTTGGGTTGGAAGGGACCTTAAAGACCACCTAGTTCCACCCCTCTGACGTGGGCAGGGACACCTTCCCCTAGCCCAGGTTGCTCAGAGCTCCATCCAACCTGGCCTTGACACTCCCAGGGATCCAGGGGCAGCCTGTGTCAAGACCTCACCACTCTCATAGGGGAAGAGTTTCTTCCCAATATCCCATCTAACCCTGCCCTCTGGCACTTTGAAGCCATTCCCCCTTGTCCTGGCACTCCAGGCCCTTGTCAATAGTCTCTCTTCATCTTTCTTGTTGGCTCCTTCAGGCACTGGAAGGCCACAATCAGGTCACCCCAAAGCTTCTCCTCTCCAGGCTGAATAATCCCAATTCTCCATCCTTTCCTCCCAGCAGAGTTGCTCCATCCTCTGCCCATCTTGGTGGCTCCTCTGGACTCTCTGCAGCAGCTCCATGTCCTTGCTGTGCTGTTCCCCAGGGCTGAAGGCAGCTCTGCAGGGGGGTCTCCCCTGAGGGGCAGAGGGGCAGAATCCCCCCTGCCCTGCTGCCCACGCTGGGGGATCAGCCCAGGGCACGGGAGGGTCTGGGCTGGGTCATGTCCAGCCTCTCCCCCACCAGCCCCCCCAGGTCCTTCTCCCCAGGGCTGCTCCATCTGCTCATCCCCAGCGTGGATTGATTCCAGGGTTGCCCCAACCCAGGTGCAGCACCAGCACTTAGCCTTGTTAAACCTCATGTGATTCCCATGGGACCACTTCTTGAGCTTGTCCAGGTCTCTCTGGATGGCCCCATCCTTCAGGTGTGTCAACTGCACCACACACCTAAAGGACACAGGTGAACACAGTGGGACGTGTGTGCCCACATGGCCACATCTGGGCACCTTGGGGACTCTCCCACTTCAGGCTGTGTGTTGTCCCTTGTGCCACTGATGCCTTGCCCACCCAGGACAGAGGTGGTGTCTCCTGTGCTGGCATGACATGAGTCCCCACACCACGGTGGCATTCCAGGGAGCAGTGCTGGATACCCTTGGGTGTTCTCAGTGCCATCCTGTCCTGTGCCACAGGGGCAGGAGCCGCGGGGGGCGGGGGGGTGAGGGTGGCTGGGTGGGTAGGGATTGGTGCAGGGTGATAAAATGCACTGTTCACGTTATTTCAGCCCAAGAATCAGGGAGAGTCACAGGACACTGAGCTAGAAAATGGCATTTACAGAACTCACCACCTGCCATCCCCAGCCCCGACCTTTGCAGACTTCATAGGTGCCATGTGGGCATGGGCACATCCAGAGAGGGGCACAATGGGGGGAAATGGGGACCCCTCCCCACTGTTCCCAGCCCCACAGCCTCTATGTGGGACCCCAAAACCAGACAGAGGGATAGTCATGGGACCCCTCTTCACTGTCCCCACTCCTGCACACCTTCTGTGGGACTCCAAACACAGCCAGATGGGAGAGGAGGGACCAACACCACCATCTCCAGACCTGCAGCTGCTCTCTGGAACCCCAAACATAGCCAGACAGGGAAGGCAAAGACCCCTCCTCACCCTCCCCAGCCCTGGAGCCCTTCTGTGGGATCCCAATCAGAGTCAGAAGGGAAAGACAGAGATTCTTCCCTATACCCTCAGCCCTGCAGCCCCTCCCTGGGACCTCAAACACAGCTAGAGGGGCAGGGTAGGGACCTCTCCCCACCACAAGCAGCCTTGCAGCCCCTCTGTGGGGCCCCAAATGCAGCCACATCCCAGTGTGGGTGCCCTCAGTGGGATGTCTGAGCCCCCTGTGGCTCAGCTCTGTGGCACAGAGGTGTTGCTGGCACCGAGGGCAGAGGGCAGGGACTGTGCTGGGACCCCCTGCCCTGTGTTGGGCAATACCAGCAGCCCCACTAGGCCACATTTTGGGGATAGCAGGTCCAGCCGTAGCAACAGTTACTACGATTCCCTTTTCCCATTCCCTTTTCCCGACTCCAGCGTCTTCCCATGGAAGCTCTGGCGCTGCCACGGATGTGTTTACAGGCAATTAAAGCTCATTAATTGTGCACAGAAGCAACAGAAGCCCCGCGGCAATTTTGGGGGGGAGGGTGAGTCCCGTAGGGGACAGAGCCAGACCCGGCCATCCCTGGTTCATCCAGGGGAATGTGGGGGGCAAGTGGGAGTCAGCCCTGCCCTGGGGTGATGCTGGGCTGAGTTTGGCCCGGAGGTGATGGGGGATGGGAGATGTGCATGGGCGACTCATCTGCTCCGAGTCCCCATGGGAACATTAACCCAGGCACTGAGTCCTGCCAACAGCAAACTGAGGGGCCGAGGGGTCAAGACTCCTTCGAGGGGTATTCTTCCCTAGAGCCCAGTGCTGCGCTCTGGGGATGAATGTGGCTCCGCTCTCAGCAGGAGTGGAGCAGGGTCTTGCTTGAGGCTCTCTCAACACACGTCTGAGCAGAGCTGGTAGGGGAAGGGACCTAGCTGCTGCTCCCCAGCTCTGAAAAACAATAGCAGGAGGAGAAAAACCTTCTCTGGGATTGAAAGGATGCTTTGATTGGGAACAGATGCAGAAGATAAGGGAGGAGGCAGGTACTCACATGGATATGGCACAGGGCCAGCTGCCAGCCTGCTCCTGGCTCCTCCCTGCAGGAAAGGGGAGAGTCTCAGGAGGCGGCTGGTGCTCAGATTCCCACTGTCCTGCCTGCTCCAGGGCTGCTGGGATACACATGGGCTGCCCTGGCAGGCCTCGGTACCAGGGCTGGACACGGGAGCAGAAGGAGGACACAGCAGTGCCAGTGCAGGGAACAGGAGCAGGTGGAGGATGAAGTGGTGCCTGGGATGCACCTGGCTGCAGGATGCAGGGTGTCGGGTCCAGTCCTGAGTGTTGGGTCCAGTCTTGGTGTGATCAGGAGATACCACAGAATTCCTGGGGGGATGAACTATACCTGGCAGGGGGGATTCATGAGGAGGGTGCTCTGCCAAACTGGGAGGGGCTGCAGGCTCAGGATTTATCCTGCCAGGAGAGATGTGGGACTGTGTGTGTGAGCTGAACCCGGTGCCCCATTCCCTGCTGCAGGACCAGCACAAGAGGTGCAGTAAAGATCCTGCTGTGGCTTCTACCTCCTCTTCCTCTGCTTCCTCCTCCTCCAGTGCTGGTAGCTGGGCCCAACAAGACAAGCCACAGTTCTGCCAGGCTGAGGCCAAGGGCACAGCTCAAAGACTAATCATGGTGCTGCTGAAATTCCGTGCCCCCCACCCTCCTGCCTGCAAAGAGGCTGGTGTGCGTGGCGCCAGGTCCTGAGGTGCAGGCAGAGATGCTTAGGGGCACACTGCTGTCAGCAGGAGATGGAGAGTGGCTCGGCAGGGCCTCACCCTGTGCCTGACCCTCCCTCCGGCCCTCCCTCTTTCCTGCAGAGCCATGGCAGAGGCTGGTGTGGGGAGCAAGAGGGTGCTGGAGGGCTGTGGAGTTATGCACAGCAGGGTCTGGACTAGGGTGTGCAAGAATGTCCTGACACATGAGTAGGGGAGAAGAACCCACCTGCCCTTTGGAAACCTCCAAATTCCCCTGGCTAAACCTGCAGAAGGTCATCACCCGCCTCCAAGTGAGTACAAGGCTTTTTCCCCCCTAAAAGCAGCTCCTGAGGCTGGGAGGTGGCCATGCCCTTATTCCTGGGAAGGGATGCAGAGCTCACACAGCTTCCCTGTGAGGCTGCAGGCACCCACCCAACCCCACATGCTCCCTGCTGCCCCACCATGCTGGGCTCGACAGAGCTGACCCCCAGGAGCCAGGCTGGGGGTTGCCAGCATCAATACTTACGTGAGCCAGAGAATTGGGGTGCCCGGCACCCTGTGCAGCTGGGAAGGAGGTCCGTCCCGCCTCTCGCCCTGGCTGGGTGCCAGGCAGCACCAGCGTCAGTGGGAGACGCTTAGCCCACTTTAACCCTTTCCCTGGCACTCCTGATTGCCAGCGGGCCAGGTTCCCGCACCCCCCACCCTCCGCGGCGGCTCCGGTGGGAGGCAATCGGCAGGCGCGCACTGCAGAGCGGCGCTTTTCTTCTCTAATCTTCTTATTTCATTTTAGCATTTACAATACACCCAGCCGGTAATCCTGACATCAAACACGCCACGCGCACTTTCAAGCTGCACCCGACATCAGGCTGCGTGAGCGCTGGCAGGAGCTGCCAGCTCCGACGTCTCCAGATAACACGCGGGAGAAAGACAAGGAAAGCTGCTCTGCCAGCGGGACGAGCAGCCGTGGGGCTCCATATCCTCCAGAGCCCTTTGGCCACCCACAAGGTGCCCCTCGGGGTTGTGAGGGTGTGTTCTGCCCTAGGATGAGGTGGGTGCTGGTTGCACAGGGCAGGTTTTGTCTCTAGGGAGAGGCTGGGGTCAAAGTCACTCACGGTGGCAGCCCAGGGGGCAGGGGCTGAGCTGGGTGACCCTGCTGGTGCCCACTCATCCACCTCCCTCCTCCCTGGAGCTGTGCAGACCTCTGGGCAATCCCAACACTGGAATGTGCTGGAGGCTCTTCCCAGCCATCATCCTTTGGCGACTGGGATGAATGCTGGGATGTGCCCCCTCCCCAGGGGGAGGGCAGGCAGGGGGACCTGCATGCTTGGGAGTGGATGGAGACAGTGTCTAATACCCAATATCCACAGGCATCATCCCCGTGGGGCTGGTGACATGTCAAGACCCGAAGGCTGGACAACCAGTGATGCTCCGGAGTCCCTTTCCCTACTCCCCTGTCCGTGGCTCTTCTCTGATGGATACCAGCTGCTGCGACAGAAATTCCTGAGGGTGGAGAGGCCCTGGCACAGGTTGCCCAGAGAAGCTGTGGCTGCCCCATCCCTGGAAGTGTTCAAGGAGCTGAAACGCTTAGCAGGGCTGGATCGGGGAGAGGGGAATGAAGGGCAAAGAGAGGCAGAAATGCCTGAGAAATCATTTAATCCACCCTCAGGCTCTGGTGGGGATGGGACCCCTGTCTGGTTTCCCCTCATGGATGGTTCTTGGGGGCACCATCCTCTTCCTCAGCCTACACAGGAGGAACAAGCCCAGCAAACACATGCTCTGCCTGGTGCTGGCAGTGCCAGGTGATATGAGGAACGAGGAGGAAGAGAAGAAGGGCAATGACTCCAGTCCCTGTGCAAACCCTGCCAGCCCCTTCCTCAGTGCCAGGTGGGCACTCGCTGGGAGCCCCCGGTAAGGGGTCACGCCCCACAGAACAGTCTTAGATCCAATCATTTCTCGATATTTGGGATTTAATCATCACTAAATATTTTTTTTCCTTTCCTGTTTAAGGCAGAGAAGGGCTACGACTCAATAGGAATTAATTTGCCTAATAAGCGTCTTTGGAAAGCTTTCCCTCCTGCGCATGCCCTGGCAGGGGAATTCCAGGACCTGGGGAATGAAGGCTGTGCCTGATGGGGTGATGCCCAGTATCCTGCCTGCCCCTCTTCCTGTTGGTGCAGACAGCTCTGCCCTGAGCCCACAGGATCCAACTGGGATGCAGCTGTAGAGCACCAGGGGATGCCCATCACCGTGGTGGCACCCACCAGCCCCATGGGGGTTGGCCACAGTGGGCACGGGGCTGGAGCCAGCCGGGGGGGTGGGGGAGCGGGCTCCTGACAGGGAAGATGAATGGTTTTAATCACTCCGCTTACAGGGCACCATCTGAAGTTTCGTGTAAGTTATGATAGCGACAGTTTGCACGAAAATTGTATTTCCAGGCTTCATTGACTGGCTTAATGAGAATCTTTACATGTCAGATATTAAATTAAGAAATTAAAGAGCTGTTTCAGTGTGTATAGACTCCTTCCCTCACACTGAGCTGCTTCTTCCAGATCAATCAGGAACGCGCCTCTAGAAAAGATGGGAGAAGCCTTTGATTTTCTGTCACCGGGGAAGTGAATCTAATACGCGTTGGCACCTAATTCATGTTTTATTAAAAGGCATGAGGTGGATGCTGCCGGCCCCCGCCTCTGCCCGCTGCCCTCTCTCCGCCTGTGCCGCTCCAGGAGGAGGGAGTCTCTCCAGCTCTGCCATCCTTGGCTCCCAGTGCCGCCTGGCTGTCACACTGTCCCAAGTACCGGTATTCCCAGGCTGGGGACATGCAGAGCACAGAGAGGGTGCAAGGTACTGGCTCTGCTAGCCAGAGATGAAGGTCAGTTTGGAAAAAGCCACGTGGGAATCACTATGCTGGAAAATATTGCTGCTCTCCTGTGTTGCCATCCCTGCTTTCATTTCTGTATTGTCTGAGTTGGACCTGAATTCCCTGATCCCTTTGGTCTTCCCTCAAATTTTGCTGGGAGTGGGTACTCGGCCAACAACTCGCCAGCTAGTGGGGAATGGGGAAGATGTCACAACCGTGGGAGGGACTCAGATGGCTGGAGGACATGGAGAATGCCATGGTCACGGACAGGCTCCTGGGCATGGTGAGTTGGATGGGGGCGGAGAATCAGTGCCATGGACACTGGAGATAAACACCTGGGATAGGGACACTGAAGAGTAACTCCTGGGTCAGGGACCCCAGGGATAAATGTCCCAAAGCACGGGTATCCAGGGACAACAGGGATCAATGCCCCTGGTGAGGACATCCAGGGACACCAGGGATAAAAAACTCTTGGTGAAGGCACCCAGGGACACTGGGGATAAATGCCCTTGGATGCGCTTATCCAGGTACACCAGTGATAAATCCCTCCATTCAGTGGCACGCAGGGGCATTAGAGATAGTCCCTGGAGCAAGGCCATACTGGGACAGTGCAGATAAGTTGGGGACACCAGTCAGCTCAGTGTGTTTGGGGAGAGAGTCCAGATGGGATGTGTCTGTCTTTCCTGATCCACCTGGTCCCTGTCATGGAGGAGCTTGGAGACACAGTCACCATCTCAGGAGTCCCCAGGAGGGGAACAGGGGCATCGGGCTCTCTCTGGATGCTTGGATGAGCCCCAATCCCTTGTGGTCAGCACACTTGGATGAAGTCTCACTGTCTGGGCGCTCTCCCAGTCCCCTCACCACATCTCCACCTTCCAAAGTCGAAGGCGAGGAAAGGAAGGCATTGCTCAGGGCAAGGAAAATCCCACCTCCAGGCCCCTGAGCATGCCATCCATCTTCAGCTCCCCACACCGGCCCCAGCTTCTCCTTGTGAGGGGACACTTGGAGGTGAAACAGCTTAATTTGGCACTAATATGAGCAGTGACATTGTCTGCTGTGTCAGCTATCGATTCGTGTCCGCATGGCCCCATCAGTCACTCGGGCTTTTTTATTTTTTGATATTACAGTTGGAAAGGATCAGTCCCCCAGCAGTCCTGGATTGGGCTCACCGTGTCTCTGCAGGAGCCTGGTCCCGGTGTCTCCAGTCTTCTCCCCACTGCTGGGACTCTGTGTCCCCATATGAGGCTGGTCCTGATGTCACACCCCTCTCCCTACTGCCAGGGACCCAATGTCCCTGCAGGAGCTTGGTCCTGATGTTGTTAGCCCTCTCTGCACTGCTGGGACCACATGCTCCCACAGGAGGCTGGTCCTGGTGCCACCTGCCCCCTCCCCACTCCTGGGGGCCTTGTGTCCCCAGGGGAGGCTGGTCCTGTGCCACTCACAGCATTTCTCCCACGGGACAGATGTAGGTACAAAAGGGGATGAGGGGGGAACT